CTGCAGAATGAGCTGGAAGCGTTGCACAAGAAACAGATCAACATCCTAGAGGGTCCCAGGGAGAAGAATCTCAGGCTAGCTGATGGAGCTCCTTCTGAGAAGGTCAGTTCGTTAGTTGGTTAGTTAGTTGATGGTTGGTTCGACTGTTGAATATTAGGTTAGCTAGTTGTCTGGTGGGTTCGTTAGTTAAATAGTTGGTTAGTTAGTTGTCTGGTGGGTTCATTGGTTAAATAGCTGGTTAGTTAGTTGTCTGGTCGGTTCATTGGTTAAATAGCTGGTTAGTTAGTTGTCTGGTGGGTTCGTTGGTTAAATAGTTGGTTAGTTAGTTGTCTGGTGGATTCGTTGGTTAAATAGCTGGTTAGTTAGTTGTCTGGTGGGTTCGTTGGTTAAATAGTTGGTTAGTCAGTTGTCTGGTGGGTTCATTAGTTAAATAGTTGGTTAGTTAGTTGTCTGGTGGGTTCGTTGGTTAAATAGTTGGTTAGTTAGTTGTCTGGTGGATTCGTTGGTTAAATAGCTGGTTAGTTAGTTGTCTGGTGGGTTCGTTGGTTAAATAGTTGGTTAGTCAGTTGTCTGGTGGGTTCATTAGTTAAATAGCTGGTTAGTTAGTTGTCTGGTGGGTTCGTTGGTTAAATAGTTGGTTAGTTAGTTGTCTGGTGGGTTCGTTGGTTAAATAGTTGGTTAGTTAGTTGTCTGGTCGGTTTGTTGGTTAAATAGTTGGTAAGTTATTTAGTAAGTTTGTGTTTTAGCTATTGGTTTGGTTGGATGATTGATTAATTAATTGGGTAATTAGTTCTTGGTTTTGTTAACTAGCTAGTTGGTTAGTTACTTAAATATTTCGTCAGTTTGTTGCTGGTTTAGTAAGGTAGTCAATCGGCTAGTTAGTTGGTTTATTAGTTATTTCGTTAGTTTGTTGCTTGATTAGCTAGGTAGTTAGTCCATCAGCTAGTTAGTTAGTTTATTAGTTAGTTGTTTTGTAAGTAAGTTAGTGTCAGTAGTTAGTTAGTTAGTTGATTAGTTAATTAGCTAGTTAGTTAATTTGTTAATTAGTTAGTTAGTTAGGTAAGTAGTTAGTTAGCTAATTTGTTTGTTAGGTAATAAGTTAGCTAATTAGGTAATTACTTAGGTAATTCGGTGATTAGTTAGTTAGCTAGTTGATTAGTTAATTAATTAGTTAGTTAATTTTTTTTCAGATAGTTAATGTTTGTTAGTTAATCAGTTAGTGTATTAGTTAGTTAGTTGGTTAGTGTTAGTTAGTTAGGTAACTCGTTAATAATTTAATTAGTTAGTTAGTTAGTTAGTTAGTTAGTTAGTTAGTTAGTTAGTTAGTTAGTTAGTTAGTTAGTTAGTTAGTTAGTTAGTTAGTTAGTTAGTTAGTTAGTTAGTTAGTTAGCTAGTTAGTTAGTTAGTTAGTTAGTTAGTTAGTTAGTTAGTTGGTTAGTTAGTTAGTTAGTTAGATCATCCTCAATTGCACATTTAATCATTCTGCCGATAAGTTCTCGGATCAGTCAAACTGCTTCTAGCACCATCGAAATTAGAATTCTGCGCAGGCTGTTGAATGTGTAGAGGATCCGAAATAACTTTTAACTTTTGGTCCGGGGTAGGGGGTGTACATGGGTAAGGTTACATGGCTGTTGTGTACATAGGTAAGGTGTACACGGCTAAGGTGTACATGGGTGAGGTGTACATGGCTGTGGTGTACATGGGTGAGGTGTACATGACTGTGGTGTACATGGCTGAGGTATACATGGCTGTGGTGTACATGGCTGAGGTTACATGGCTGAGGTTACATGGGTGAGGTTACATGGCTGAGGTTACATGGGTGAGGTGTACATGGCTGAAGTTACATGGGTGAGGTTACATGGCTGAGGTTACATGGCTGAAGTTACATGGGTGAGGTTACATGGCTGAGGTTAGATGGGTGAGGTGTACATGGCTGAAGTTACATGGGTGAGGTTACATGGCTGAGGTTAGATGGGTGAGGTGTACATGGCTGAAGTTACATGGGTGAGGTTACATGGCTGAAGTTACATGGGTGAGGTGTACATGGCTGAAGTTACATGGGTGAGGTGTACATGGCTGAGGTTACATGGGTGAGGTGTACATGGCTGAAGTTACATTGGTGAGGTGTACATGGGTGAGGTGTACATGGGTGAGGTGTACATGGCTGAGGTTACATGGCTGAGGTTACATGGGTGAGGTGTACATGGGTGAGGTGTACATGGCTGAGGTGTACGTGGGTGAGGTGTACATGGCTGAGGTGTACATGGCTGAGGTGTACATGGGTGAGGCGTACATGGCTGTGGTTACATGGCTGAGGTGTACATGGCTGAGGTTACATGGCTGAGGTTACATGGCTGAGGTTACATGGGTGAGGTGTATATGGCTGAGGTGTACAGGGCTGAGGTGTACATGGCTGAGGTGTACATGGCTGAGGTTAAATGGCTGGGGTGTACATGGCTGAGGTTACATGGGTGAGGTGTCCACTGCTGATGTGTACATGGGTGAGGTGTACATGGGTGAGGTGTGCATGGGTGAGGTGTACATGGGTGAGGTGTGCATGGGTGAGGTGTGCATAGGTGAGGTGTACATGGGTGAGGTGTGCATAGGTGAGGTGTAAATGGGTGAGGTGTGCATAGGTGAGGTGTACATGGGTGAGGTGTGCATAGGTGAGGTGTACATGGGTGAGGTGTGCATAGGTGAGGTGTACATGGGTGAGGTGTGCATAGGTGAGGTGTAAATGGGTGAGGTGTACATGGGTGAGGTGTGCATAGGTGAGGTGTACATGGGTGAGGTGTGCATAGGTGAGGTGTACATGGGTGAGGTGTGCATGGGTGAGGTGTACATGGGTGAGGTGTACATGGGTGAGGTGTGCATAGGTGAGGTGTAAATGGGTGAGGTGTACATGGGTGAGGTGTGTACGGGTGAGGTGTACATGGGTGAGGTGTACATGGGTGAGGTGTACATGGGTGAGGTGTACATGGGTGAGGTGTGCACGGGTGAGGTGTACATGGGTGAGGTGTACATGGCTGAGGTGTACATGGGTGAGGTGTGCATGGGTGAGGTGTGCATAGGTGAGGTGTACATGGGTGAGGTGTGCATAGGTGAGGTGTAAATGGGTGAGGTGTGCATAGGTGAGGTGTACATGGGTGAGGTGTGCATAGGTGAGGTGTACATGGGTGAGGTGTGCATAGGTGAGGTGTACATGGGTGAGGTGTGCATAGGTGAGGTGTACATGGGTGAGGTGTGTACATGGGTGAGGTGTGCATGGGTGAGGTGTGCATAGTGAGGTGTACATGGGTGAGGTGTTGCATAGGGTGAGGTGTACATGGGTGAGGTGTGCATGGGTGAGGTGTACATGGGTGAGGTGTACATGGGTGAGGTGTGCATAGGTGAGGTGTAAATGGGTGAGGTGTACATGGGTGAGGTGTGCACGGGTGAGGTGTACATGGGTGAGGTGTACATGGGTGAGGTGTACATGGGTGAGGTATGCACGGGTGAGGTGTACATGGGCTAGGTGTACATGGGTGAGGTGTACATGGCTGAGGTGTACATGGGTGAGGTGTACATGGGTGAGGTGTACATGGGTGAGGTGTACATGGGTGAGGTGTACATGGGTGAGGTGTGCACGGGTTAGGTGTACATGGGTGAGGTGTACATGGGTGAGGTGTACATGGGTGAGGTGTACATGGGTGAGGTGTACACGATAACGACTTGGCGTGAGCTTGTTAAGGGTCGATGCCTATTTTTTTTTTTTTTACTTTTCTAAATTTTATCTTCATTTTTACCCCTCTAGATTTGCAATGCAAATTCCTAAACCCCCCCCCCCCCCCCCCTTGTTCCCCTTTTAAACTTTTCAGACATCTGACAATAGTTATATTGGGACACCAGAAAACGGTTGCCAGATAACCCGTCGTCCGGTGTAGATATGTGGAGGGGCTGCGTGGTCTCGAGGCATGGCGTCTGCCTCGAGTGCTAGAGGTTACGGGTTCAAGCCCTGGTGAATGCTGGGATTTTTTTATGAGTATGAGTAATTTCTGGTCCCTGGATAGTGAGAAAGGACGCCCATGTGTATGGCTGCGCACATAAAACAAATCACTTGGCAGTTGAAAATTGAAAAAAGAGTAGCGTAACGGCGCTGTCCTGGCAAATTTTGGAGTTGATAATCTACCCAAAGTATTTCTGGATCCTCGCCAGTGCTACGAAGTTCGTGCACTGCGCTTAGATTTTCAGACCCAGGCTTGAGTCAGAAGTAGAATAGAGCACTTTTGGGTCCCTACCCGTGTGAGATGATGTTGATCCGTTGTTTGAACCTAAACCAGTGTGGATGGTAATTGCAAAAGTAGTTTGAAAATGTGCACGCTTTATCAGTCTTTGCCTGACTTTGTCACGCAGAGCAATCACGTGATCCAGTGTGCCAGATTACGTCATGAGATAGAGGACTTGTCTAGGAGAGTAGAGATGGCCCGGATGAAGCTGACCTCAGAGATAAAGGTAAAGGTCACCTGTGGCATTCCACAGGTCACACGTTGTTCCTGTGTCAGGAAATGTCAGTACACGTGCTAGGTGTAAGTGTGTTTTATGTATGTGTTGTGTGTGAGTATGTTGTATGTGTGTACGTGTGTTGTATGTGTGTGTACGTGTGTTGCATGTATTTGTGTTGTGTGTACCTGTGTTTGGTGTTTGTGTGCTTGTGTTGTATGTATGTATGTTGTGTGTACGTGTGGTGTATGTGTGTTGTGTTAAGTGTGTTGTATGTATTTTTGCTGTGTGTGCGTATGTTTTATGTATATATGTATGTTTATGTATGTATGTATGTTGTGTATGTGTGTTGTTTGTATGTGTCTTGTGTGTGAGTGTGTTGTATGAGAGGGCTTTTTATGTATGTATGTATGTATGTATGTATGTATGTATGTATGTATGTATGTATGTATGTATGTATGTATGTATGTATGTATGTATGTATGTATGTATGTATGTATGTATGTATGTATGTATGTATGTATGTATGTATGTATGTATGTATGTATGTATGTATGTATGTATGTATGTATGTATGTATGTATGTATGTATGTATGTATGTATGTATGTATGTATGTATGTATGTATGTATGTATGTATGTATGTATGTATGTATGTATGTATGTATGTATGTATGTATGTATGTATGTATGTATGTATGTATGTATGTATGTATGTATGTATGTATGTATGTATGTATGTATGTATGTATGTATGTATGTATGTATGTATGTATGTATGTATGTATGTATGTATGTATGTATGTATGTATGTATGTATGTATGTATGTATGTATGTATGTATGTATGTATGTATGTATGTATGTGTGTGTGTGTGTGTGTGTGTGTGTGTGTGTCTGTGTGTGTGTGTATGTATGTATGTATGTATGTATGTGTGTGTGTGTGTGTGTGTGTGTGCGTGCGTGCGTGCGTGCGTGCGTGCGTGCGTGTGTGTGTGTGTGTGATGGATGGATGGATGGATGGATGGATGGATGGATGGATGGATGGATGGATGGATGGATGGATGGATGGATGGATGGATGGATGGATGGATGGATGGATGTATGTATGTATGTATGTATGTATGTATGTATTTTGTATGTGATTGTGTTGTATATATATATGTACAATCGCGAAAGAACTTGCATTGTAAAGTGCAGAAAAGTTTCTAAATGGTATGTGTGTTTTATGTGAGTGTGTTGTGTGTATTTGTGTTGTGTGTGTTGTATTTCTGTGTGTTGTGTCTTATTAAATGAATTATCATTTTTAAGATAAATATTTTCTAATAGTCCATTTATTTATCTTCTAAATAATAATTCATTCAACAACACATGTTGCAAATCAATTAAACTGTAGTTCAGTTTGTGTATAAATCTACTCGATAATAATTGTTACTACTGATCGGCCATGCCAGCCTCACAAAAACGGTAATTCCCGTTTGAGCTGTGTGTCCTTATATCTGGAACTGGCCGTGCTGTGAACCTAATCACTTTTCTTGTAAAAGTGCCAATCATTTATGCTTCTACATCTGTGAACCTAATCACTTTTCTTGTAAAAGTGCCAATCATTTATGCTTCTACATCTGTGAACCTAATCACTTTTCTTGTAAAAGTGCCAATCATTTATGCTTCTACATCTGTGAACCTAATCACTTTTCTTGTAAAAGTGCCAATCATTTATGCTTCTACATCTGTGAACCTAATCACTTTTCTTGTAAAAGTGCCAATCATTTATGCTTCTACATCTGTGAACCTAATCACTTTTCTTGTAAAAGTGCCAATCATTTATGCTTCTACATCTGTGAACCTAATGACATTTCATGAAAAGCTGATAACGAGAGCTTGTTCTGACGGTACATAACGGTACGCTGTACTGGCACAATAATTTAAGACATCATTGTTTCAGCGTTACTGTAAATGACACTGTATTATGAGTACCGACACTAGATTCATCAAGAAACAGCAGATTCATCGAGGAACTCTAGATTCATCAAGAAACAGCAGATTCATCGAGGAACTCTAGATTCATCAAGAAACAGCAGATTCATCGAGGAACTCTAGATTCATCAAGAAACAGCAGATTCATCGGGAATCGCTAGATTGATCGAGAAACGCTACATTCATGGAAAACACTAGATTGATCGAGAAACGCTACATTCATGGAAAACACTAGATTGATCGAGAAACGCTACATTCATGGAAAAACACTAGATTGATCGAGAAACGCTACATTCATGGAAAAACACTAGATTGATCGAGAAACGCTACATTCATGGAAAAACACTAGATTTATCGAGAAACGCTACATTCATGGAAAATACTAGATTGATCGAGAAACGCTACATTCATGGAAAAACACTAGATTTATCGAGAAACGCTACATTCATGGAAAAACACTAGATTGATCGAGAAACGCTACATTCATGGAAAAACACTAGATTGATCGAGAAACGCTACATTCATGGAAAAACACTAGATTGAACGAGAAACGCTACATTCATGAAAAACACTAGATTGATCGAGAAACACTAGATTCATCAAAAAACAGCAGATCAAGTGGTTTGGTCATCTCGTTAGAATGCTGCAAGATCAAATACCATCACAAACACTACATCTCAGAAGATTAGCTACAAAAGCAATAGGACGGACGCGACACTATGCCTTCACGGCATAACGAAAGCCAGTTAAGCCAGCGTGCAATGGATCGCAAATTGTTCCTCCCCACATCGCTTGGCGGCAGAAATGGTTTATGACGATGATTACCAACACCTTTGTTAGACTCTTTATGGTGAGTACCGGCACCGTTTCCGAAACTGAAACCATGTTTAAACGCCTGTAAGCACATCTTCTTCTCCCACAGCTGCGAGTTCAGGCACAAGCAGAGATGAAAGCGGTTAGATCTGAAGCCATGCAGAACCGGGTGGCCTTGCGAGCACCGAGACCCGGCCACGGAAACACAGCTGTCGTGTCAGCAGCCAAGTAGAACTGTCATTTGTTTGTTAGTTGTATGTGTATGTGTGTGTGTTTTTTTTTTTTTAAACACAAACACATTGATTTACCTAATTAAGAATTACTATCATAGCACACAGGGCATGCCCATAGATGCTCCGTCTCCCGCAAAAAATGTCTAAAGGCACTGTTTCCCAAACATTTCTTAGTCGCGGCGCCTTTTTTCAGTTAACATTTTTCATAAATATTCTCATAAATGGACGGACAGACACTCTATTAGCATTCTTTACCTTTTATAGTTATTATTATTATTGTTGTGCGCTGATAGCAAAAAAAATATAATCAAATAAGTGAAGTAATAACAAATCTGATGATATTGCTCTTCTGTCCCATTCACGGAATCAGATGCAAGATAAATTATATATACTTAATGCGAGATCACAGCAGCTTGGTCTGAATATCCATAAAGGAAAGACAAAGATAATGAGAATAAATCAGGCAAATAGTAATGTGGTTTCTCTTAATGGCACCCCACTCCAAGACGTGGAGTTGTACACCTATTTAGGCAGTAATGTAAATAAGATGGAGGAACTGATAGAGATATTAAAATAAGAATACAAAAGGCAAGAGGGGCTTTCATAGCACTAGGGAATTTGTGGAGGTCAAAAGAAATTAAAAGAAATGCTAAACTAAAAATTTTTAATTATAATGTATAATCAGTACTATTGTATGGGGCGGAAACATGGAGAACAACCAAGGCAATTACTAATAAATTACAGACATTCATTAACTGGTTCCTGCGCAAAATAGAGGGAAAAAAATGGTATGATAGAATAACTAATGTAGAACTTTGGGAGAGAATTAAACAGGCTCCAGTGGATCAGGAAGTGAGGAAAAGACGCTGGCGTTGGATAGGGCACACACTGAGAAAACAGGAGAACAGCACTACTAGAATGTCTTTGCATTGGAACCCACAGGGGCATAGGAATAAAGGAAGGCCACAAGACACATGGAGAAGAGAGCTGGAGAACGAGGTTAGAAAGATTGGGAGGACATGGAGAGAGCTCTATGCAATGGCGAAGGATAGAACGACTTGGCGTGAGTTGGTTGAGGGCCTATGCTCCATTGGGGGATAGAAAGGCAGAAGAAGAAGAATAACAAATCTATAATCACATAATTACAAAGAGGATGTCTGTATGTGGTTACGGTAACCACCTAAACCCCTTAAAAAAATTTTCTAAGGGGAGGGTGATCAAGGTCAGCCCCTTACCCCCACCCCCCCCCCACCCCCCACCCCACCCCCTACACCCCCTCCCACCTCATTGTATGGGGAAAGGGAGTGAACCCAGGTTCTAGCACCTTTAACATACAGACAGGTACAGACGAGATGTGTGGGTACTGTCCCTTGAGAACATTGTGTCCATGTTAAGCATTGTTTTAAATAAACAGTTTTCAAATTCAGACAAAATTGTTGGTTTTTATTTAATACATGTTGTCTAGCGGTGATGTATCACATAGTTCTCATATGTCATTTAGATACTACATAGGTTTTGTGCTCCTTAAAAAGACTTCATTCTTCTTCTTCTTCGCGAACACCAGCTGTAAACTCTGGCGGAAAGTTCTGGTTGTTCATCTACTTGTGGACTGCAGTCCTGTTCCAGTGTGTTGCGTGTGCATCTGTTTTACAAATCTAACTCATTTGTATGCAGACTGCTGGTTCCTTACCTCTCAGGTAGATGCACTCCGACTTCAAAATGAAACACGTTCCAGTGAATTTATTACAAAATATGGAAAAGAAAAAAAAAACATCAACAGGTGTGGTAGATATAATAAAGTATTTATTTTGAATTATTTGTACACAAGGGGTAAGACACTCTAGACAATATGATAAACCAAGAAAACATGAAAATGGCTTGGCTGCGTTATGAGAATGAATCCTCCTATACCTGCCAAAACAGCTCTCACATGGATACCAACATAGAAAGAGAAAAAAGGGGCGCCCAAAAACAAAATGGAGACGAACGATGGAGAGTGACCTGAGTGCTGCATCTCTGACATGGAAAACTGCACTGAAGATTACACAGGACAGGAAAGCATGGAAAGTCCTCTTTGAAGCCTTTTGTACCACTAGGCTTAACGCGAACTGATGACTGATGATGATCCTCCAGTGGTTGGCCAGAAAAACTCCTCGCAGTCAGGCATGCATCCCGTTGCTTAGAAAGGTGTCCAATGCCGCCCGCAACAACAACAAAAGTGATAGCTCACTGATTAGAATTTTAAACTGTTTTTTCGTGTGCATCTGCTTGAGATCGAACAAATTAAAATCGCATCGCATGCTGACAAATCAGGACTATAAGATGGATGTGGCACAAATCACCTGCTTCTTCCTTGCAAACTCTACCTCCACAATCTTGGCAACACTGGACGTATATTATCGTGCAACAACGTCATATCGCGAGAAATCATGTCGGGACGTTTATTTCTGATGGCTTATTCGGCTTGTCTGGTGTTTGCAAACTTGTCTAGTGTGCACACGTGTCTGGTGTTTGCAAACTTGTCTAGTGTTTGCAAACTTGTCTGGTGTTTGCAAACTTGTCTGGTGTTTGCACACTTGTCTTGCGTTTGCAAACTTGTCTAGTGTTTGCAAACTTGTCTAGTGTTTGCAAACTTGTCTAGTGTGCACACTTGTCTAGTGTTTGCAAACTTGTCTAGTGTTTGCAAACTTGTCTAGTGTGTAGTGTGCACACTTGTCTAGTGTTTGCAAACTTGTCTAGTGTGTAGTGTGCACACTTGTCTAGTGTTTGCAAACTTGTCTAGTGTTTGCACACTTGTCTGGTGTTTGTACACTTGTCTTGTGTTTGCAAATTTGTCTAGTGTTTGCAAACTTGTCTAGTGTGCAAACGTGTCTAGTGTTAGCAAACTTGTCTGGTGTTTGCAAACTTGTCTGGTGTTTGCAAACTTGTCTGGTGTTTGCAAACTTGTCTGGTGTTTGTAAACTTGTCTAGTGTTTGCAAACTTGTCTGGTGTTTGTAAACTTATCTAGTGTTTGCAAACTTTTCTAGTAATTGCAAACTTATCTAGTGTTTGCAAACTTATCTAGTGTTTGCAAATTTATCTAGTGTTTGCAAACTTGTCTGGTGCTTGCAAACTTATCTGGTGTTTACAAACTTGTCTGGTGTTTACAAACTTGTCTAGCGTTTGCAAACTTATCTGGTGTTTACAAACTTGTCTTGTGTTTACAAACTTGTCTGGTGTTTACAAACTTGTCTAGTGTTTACAAACTTGTCTAGTGTTTGCAAACTTATCTAGTATTTGCAAACTTGTCTAGTGTTTGCAAACTTGTCTAGTGTTTACAAACTTGTCTGGTGTTTACAAACTTGTCTGGTGTTTACAAACTTGTCTAGTGTTTACAAAATTGTCTAGTGTTTACAAACTTATCTGGTGTTTACAAACTTGACTAGTGTTTACAAACTTGTCTTGTGTTTACAAACTTGTCTTGTGTTTACAAACTTGTCTAGTGTTTACAAACTTGTCTAGTGTTTACGAACTTGTCTGGTGTTTACAAACTTGTCTAGTGTTTACAAACTTGTCTGGTGTTTACAAACTTGTCTGGTGTTTACAAACTTGTCTGGTCTTTACAAACTTGTCTAGTAATTGCAAACTTATCTAGTGTTTGCAAACTTATCTAGTGTTTGCAAACTTGTCTGGTGTTTGCAAATTTAACTAGTGTTTGCAAACGTGTCTAGTGTTTGCAAACTTGTATATTATTTGCAAATAATGAGTAGAGCTGATGTTAACGTCAGGTTGTTTAAAGTCTACCAACAATGACCCTTCCAGGTAGAAAATAAAAAAATGCGCCTAGTGAAATTTTTTCATTCTATTGCATGATGTCTCATTTTGCTGCTTGGCTCAAAGTGTGACACTTTTTCATCGTTTGCTAAAACGCGGAAAAGGAATGCGCCACCTCCCTATATGTAACGCAGCAAGTGGCTAAGACACTGTCCAGTGTGTTCCTCTTTTGCCGTCGATCAGCATCCGTGGTACCTACACACCTTCCGATTTTGCCATTTCTTACAAACAACTTTTTCAACTGTCCTGGCACATCTAATTCTTTCGCTGGCGAACGATTGCTTCGACAACGGTTCATCTGTATTGCTACTTCAGTGTCTGTCTATCCCAGAGGCTCCCCCCCCCCCCCCCCCAATTATGAGTAATAACAGCATACACATATTGACAATTTACATCACAGATGTTAACCCCGTACCACTGTGGAACGCATTGTTTTTGTTTTGTTTTTTTGGTTTGTTATTTTTAAGCCTAAAACACTCGGAGACATACTCAGGGGGAGATCGGAGCAGTTATGGTCATGTCCGATGTGCGATGAAGATTATCTTTAAATGAATAATGAACAATGGCGGGGTTAAACGTCTTTTACTCAATTCACATCAATTCTCTATTCAGGGACACAACCTGCTAGAATGTTGTGAGTTATTACTATAAGATTTACCGCCCTTGATGCCCCAGTTTCATACACCTCCACCCATCGAGAAGGTCGTGAAGAGAAATCAGATTAGGGATCCCCAGCTACAACTGCGTGACCTGGGAGTAAAGCCTGATTAATCACGTCAATGCCGCATTTGACGCCAGGAGAGGAGAGACTATAACCACATTCTCATGGGACCAGTCACTAGAGAAACCTTGGAGTGGCTGCTGCGAGGAAGCACTGGGCACGCGTGGGAATGCCCAAAGTGCAGTGACGTCGACTGTGTTAACATAACATGACAGCCAGGTGGATCAATGGTTCATGACCAGTATACAATTTACATGTTTAGAACCTCATTTGTGTCCATGGACTTTCGTTGCAGGGAGCCTCCGTGGTGTCACAGCAAGACGCTCGCCTGCGGATGGGGAGGTCGCGGGTTCAAATCCAAACAGACGGACTTTAAAAAAAAATTACTTTGAATCCCAGGGTGACCCAGCCTTAAATAGATACCAGGTAAAGTACTGGGAAATAAAGTGGGCCGGCCAACAACG